CCACCATTCCGTCCACCACCGCCACCATTCCGTCCACCACCGCCACCATTCCGTCCACCATTCCGTCCACCACCGCCACCATTCCGTCCACCACCGCCACCATTCCGTCCGCCACCATTGCGTCCGCCACCATTCCGTCCGCCACCGCCACCATTGCGTCCGCCACCATTCCGTCCGCCACCATCCCACCCACCATTCCCAAGAAGAGACTGATCCCATTGTGCCTTCATCTTCTGTCATTTCAGGTATGACTCCTTCACTGGTGTTCCGGTCACTCAGCCCAACATCTCTCTAGAGAAAGCCAGCATTCTCTTCAACATTGGTGCCCTCTACACCCAGATCGGGGCCCGATGCAACAGGCAGACGAAGAGCGGCCTGCAGGAATCGGTCACCATGTTCCAGAAAGCTGCAGGTAACAGGATGGGCATCAAGGAGAGGCCAAATGTACTTTTGACTTTACTAGCAGTCAGGATGATGTGAAAGAGGAATGGTGATGGAGTGTTACTGCCCAGCGTGGTTCTACCTGAGGAACATTGTGTAACGAGTCCAATATATGGCCAATGGTTTATGGACACCTGACCATCATAGCTCTATGAGCTTGTTGGGTGTCCAATTCCAAAACCGTGGTCATTTAATATGGAGCTGGCCTCCCTTTGTGGCTATAACACCCTCCATTCTTCTCGGAAAGGCTTCCCATAAGATTTTGGAGGGTGTCTGTGGGAATTTGTCCCATGTGTGAGGTCAGGTACTGATGTTGGATGAGAAGACCTGCCTCACCATGAGTGTTCCAATTCATCTCAAATGTGTTCAGTAGGGTTGAGGTCAGGTCACTTGGGTTCCTCCACACCAAACTGGTCACACCATGTCTGTATGGAGCTGGCTTTGTACACAGGGGACAGTCATGGTGGATCAGAAAAGGTTCTTCACTAAACTGTAACCACAAGGCCGAAAGAGCACAGGGGTCTACAATGTCTTTGTATGATGGAGTATTAACAATATCTTCACTGGTGACACCTGAACTCAATTATTTGGACGGATTTCTACATACAGTTGGCCATATAGTGGGTGTGATGATCAGGTGCTCACAATGGCCCCTATATTAAGGACCATTGATCCATAGTAAGGACCATGTGATGTTAGGGTTGCTGGTTGGCTTCCTTGGAGGGAAGTGACAAGCCTTTCTAACAGTCAGAGGAAATCACCATCTTTGATGATCCTTTACTTAGAAAAGAATTCCAAAGTTTTTCTTTTCCTCTCTCCTTTCCTTTCCTTTTTCCGTTGTTCTTTCCATTGCTCTTTTTTTCCTTTCCTTTCCTCCTTTCCTCTTTCCTTCTCTCTCTCTCTCTCTCTCTCTCTCTCTCTCTCTCTCT